TATTGACTGAATAGCGAACATTGCAGACCATGACCAGAAAGCAGGAATGTGCTTGCTGCATTTGGTCTGCACTGGTCTGAACTGGTCATGCCAGTTGCCACCAGCCTGGTTAAGGGTGGATATTTTCTTTTTCATTTAATATTATAATAGGATAAATATTATAATAGGAAAGATTTCAAAGATCTTGAACTCCTGCTTGTTATGCTTGTGTTTCTCTTCATTAATATTGATGCTAATTGCTTTTAAAAAGAATATGATGTTGGTAGACTAGTGATTTGATCTTAGACAAGTGTTAGAGTCTTCAGGTTTGTTTTTTAATATCACCAGCCCCTAACACTGAGGTAGATGCGTGGCCCTTTGCATCGAGACACATAATTACAGCCAACACTTGTTTTAACATCACTAGCCCCGTAGTTTCAGAATAAATTATGTTTTACATCACAAATATCACTTACTTTTCCCTTTAATATAACCAGCCTCTTTCTGGGGAACGGGTTCATTCCATATAAATTTCACATTACATAATGTCGTTTAGACTTAAAGCATGCCGGAGTTTTCAAAATATGCTAAATTGTGTATGAACCCCTGACTTAAGTCATTCCCACCCAGAAAGATTGATCCCCACCTTGTCGAGGTGACGGTATTTTTACAGAGTGCAAAATGGGTTTAATCCAAAAACATTCGTTTTATTTTCTCTATTTTGCTATGCACAAAGATGCAATATAAATTTCATTACTACGAATCTCAAGGAGAAATCAAAATCCAAACCAATGATAAACATCAACAGTGACATAAATGGGGAAATAAACACGTCGCATCTGGCAGAAATATATGTAATATCTCATAATTAATGCCCTGTATCACTTTAAATCGTGGCTTAGACACACTTTATGCATAGATACATCGCTCATCTTTAAGAAAAAAATGGGAGACACGAAGATGTGAAAATTGATAATTTGTTACGTATTTCATGTGGAAATCCTCACTTTATATCGTTTTATAACGTCTTGAAAAATGAATCGATTGAAGAAGAAAAACAAAATGCAACAATTTAAAAACTGCTGACCCCGCAAGTTCAAGAGAAAAGAAATCTAGTAAACGAATGCCTCATTTTTTATCAACATTTTTCTTTGAATCAATGTGTGAAAATTGAAAACTTAGGGAACGGCCAAAAACGGCAAAAAATGAAATCGTCCCGGATACCGGATATCGGAATGGCAGTCTATGAAGAAGTATTTTTAAAATAAGAAAAAGTCGGTGCAAGATAATAAATGTCAAAAATATCAGTTCCATACGTAAGACTCTTTAACCCTTTGTGTTGTTTTGATAAATATGATTCAAAAGATGTTTAAAAAATTTAAAGTTATCTTTTCTTAACTTAGAATGTCTTTAATTCATGATGAAATTGTAACGGTACTGAACGGTCATCAACATGTAAACAAGCAAACAAGCATTTCCTTTAAGTAACATTGGCATAATTTCATTAAAAAATTGTAAAAAAAAATGATAAGAAAAAAAAATCAAGATTTCAAGAAAATGAGAAACCATTATTTCAAAATGTAACCTATAATTGTAAAACCGATCTTTGTGTTGTTCTTTAACAATTTATTCACTTAAAATAAAAAGTGTAATCTTGCCGGTGGAAACAAAACTCTTTATGGATTTTTTACAGCCACGTTTAATACACTAATATTAGAATAACAAAAGGACTGTATTATAATTAAATTGATGAGATGGAAATTCGTTGTTTTCATCTCTATTGATTAAGCTGTATATTAAACATGTATAAAATGTCATTGTTTGGTTCTGACAGTAAGATAATTTAGATGGTTCTTGTAGATATAGAGAGACATGATTTTGAAAGCGGCTGTATCTTTTTTTAACGTGTTTTTGATTATCCTTAACGAACTTTTAAAGACCCAATAGACAGATAAGAAAACTCAATTGCCGCTCATTTGCAAGTGTTTATTCTGTTTGTTGTTAAGTTATAAAGCAGGTAGCAACTGTGGCTGCATGCGACAACTGGCCAGTTAATGGTCATCTGCAGGCAGCTGACGGACCTCGTGGTCAGTTTATTGTCCGGACACAGTGGGCAATGGTCATTTATGTGTCCATAATCACAAAATTATAGACTACCGAAAACACCATCAGATAACGCACAATGAGTCGAAAGTAGCCGAAAGTTAACAAAATGACCGGCAAGGTCATGATCCGAGTATTTTAACACATTAGCAAAAAACAGGTGGTCATCCAATAAAAGAGGTGGTCATCTAATAAAAGACCTCCGCTGTCTTCTTGAAAGGTAATTACCGGTGTAACAAGTATTCGGATACACGAAGTATCACTTAACATTCTACTAAAAAAAGTGATGTGAATTTTATGAGTTTTCAGATGTGTCAGTGATAAAAATTATCATCTGATCTGAATAAAAATAAATAGCGACCTTGACTATGGGACGAAAACCTATACGCAGTTTTATTATATTTGCTTCTTGTTTTTGTTATCCCAGAGATATTATTCCTATATATCGAAGAATATGAAAGTAATGCACAATTTAAAGGAGCTAAACTGACGACCAAGAAGTCTAAAAAATATGTTTTGAAATCCTTACATATATAGATCAAACAGAACGGAATAGAAGGGTTGTTGTTTTTTCGTCGTATGCAATGTCAAATTTGAGCACATGAAAATCATACAAAATATCAAAAGGAAATATGTATTGACTGATTTGAGTTAAACGATTTTAAACAATCTCAGACTTTGGGTCATTTTTGCAAAATAACAATGATTATTCTGGAGAAATTAAGAGATCGAATCATTCAAAAAATTACACAGTAAGTAATTTAGTTCAGACAATTATGATATGATACACATATCGAAAAGATATTTCAAGTTCCACCATGTCAAAGACCTCAGACCAAATAAATTGAGATGCAATCTCGTCGTAGTCTTTTTTATCTTTGTGTATATATTTATTTTCATCAGTTTTGTTATAAAGTATGTTCTTTGTTTACTTTTTGGTTATTTTTTGCTCATTTAATTGTTCACTTACAATCTTTTTAATGACAGAAAACATAGTTTAAGTGTTACCGCGACAATTCGAGTATTTTCAGATTTTATTTATGATATTAATTTTTCATGCATTATAGTATAATAATGCACGGTATCGTTCAAATGCTTAGTTTTAAATTAATCAGTTAGGTCTATCGGCCTTCGTTATTATATATTTCTGCCCATTTGAACTCGAACCGTGCATTATTCTGCAACAATACACTCAAAATTGATATCTGTTTCCTAAACAACGAACAAAAAGTATAAACGTGAAAAAAATGTTAAAAATGAAGATATTTCGGCAACTCATTGAGAAGATATACGGGGCTGTGAAGAATGCGTGAAAAAAAGCTTGGTAATGATTAATAATTAGCATTTTTGACACATACTAATTACTGACATGTCAAAAAACACTGTATTTATATTATTAATATGTTGCTAACGTGATAAAATACGCGCCCGTCTGTTCGTAACTTCGGATGAATTCCAACAGACATTTCGTTTATAGGAACTGGCAAAAATGTATGAAAAATATATGCGAAAATTATCAGCAAACTTGTTAATGTTTCAATAATGGGTAAACTATGTTTTGATTTGTAAATGAGCCCAATCAAATAGGCCTACCACACAGCGAGATGCATAAAACATTAAAATAAAAGGCTGTTAATTTTCCATAATCCGTGTACATTACTCTATGGAATTGTCTAAGAAAAAGTTTTTCATTCCGATATTTTGTTATATTGGATGAAAATACATTTATTTGAAAACAGCTGTAAATATTTCTGTTGAAGTTGTTATTTTTCTTGAACATATTTAGGAAAAGAATTTACAGACTACATAATACCGAAACATTTTGCTGTGGAAATTTCAGTAAATCAGACGAGGCAGTTTGCGATTACGTTTCTTAAAATTTGAAAAAAAATGACATAAATTAACTCCAAAATCGCCGCAGAGTGACAATCTATGTTTTCTTAAATGTAAATAAAGCTGATGTGCTTTTATCTCTCCCCTTTCAAAGCGCTATATTTACATGGAATTTTAGGTCTTTGCGATTATGGTGTGTATATGCTATGAAATGCATGTTGGCCACTGACCTGTGTTACAGACAGGTCAAGATGTTGTATGTATATATAAAATGTTGTCTTACACTAAAATCGTGATAACCAATACGTTCATGTATTACTCCGCCACCTGGTCAACCGCTGCCGGCCTACTTTTCATATTACTGACTCCCAGGCCGTGACCCGTTGTAACCGCAACATTGTCTGGCTTGTGAAAATAATAAATACGGAAGCGACGAGGAAACCGTGTAAATAATGTAAAATAAGCACATTACAATAGTGTCATTTTGGTATAACAAGTTTTAACCGCAAATGTTATTGATTTGACATACAAATTATTGGGGTCACAAAGGCAAAATTATAACATTATGTATTGAATGAAAAAAATGAACAATTGACTTTGTACTCTTAATGCCAACATTTTTTTCTAAAAATTATTCATTCAGGGAACAGATCATGTTTCAAACTCATAATCGGTCTTGTTTTCAAATCATTTCTTAATTAGAGTGAATGAAAATTCTAAGTTTTAAATTATATTTAATAAAATTTAGGCTTTAGACTTTTAAGAATAAGAGATTGTGTTCTTCAAAAGAATCAGGAAAGGAGTTTTTAGACTTTTAAGAATAAGAGATATTATTCTTAAAAATACCTCGGAAAGGAGGATCCCTCGAAAGCAACGGAAACAAAGTTTAAGAGTGAAAATTGCAGACTTGGTTTGATTGAGTCTGTTCATGACGTAACATCAATAACGCCCCCCCCCCCCCGACCAGCACCGACTAAGTTGATACCAGTAAAGCACGTGCATAATAGTGGGCATTTTATTTTTAAATGTTTAAATATGTAATGCAATAAAGTTATAAACAATGTTGATTTTTGTATATTTTACAGGAAGTTTCGCATCATGTAAAAATGAAGGAGAAATTGTTGAAGTACGAGGCATCTCAGAAAACCCGTGCATCACGTGCATATGTATGGTGAGTACCTATATTTGATATATCAATATATATTTATATTTATTTATCATCTTCATTTTACATTACTAAAATTTGTAAACATTCATAGCAATCTAGGAAAATGTGCAAGTATACCCTTTTCACATTTAGACACATTTTATTAGTGAGCGATATTGATGATGATGTTGTTGTTGGAGAAGAAACAATCGGTTATTTGTTAATTTTTGTCTGCGGATTACAGTAGACATCGTTTTCTTTCGCAGAAAAATATCATTTTAACTAAATAGTGGTCCTCTTAGTTTGAGTTTGTAGGTTTTGAATTTGTATGATACTTTCAAGGTATTTTAGATAGAAGAACTTGAAAAAAAAGATAACTGTTAGACTTCGAACAAACTTTGAGACTTAACTTTATATAAAAAAGGCTACTACAGAATTTAAAGTGTAATAAAAGAAAAAGAGGGTAAAATGAAATAGATATTTTTGAACTCACAAATTTGTCAATGTGAATTTTTTTAAGTATATGACTGAACCTTTCAAATGTGTCTTATGACATAGATAATTTTATGTTACGTATTTATCATTCATGTGATATACTTAAACATATAAGTCTAATAAAAGGTCTTTTCTGTTCTGTTTTGTTCTGATGGAAGAGTAGTTAGTAAACTCTACACTATCCATGTATATATGAAAGCGTATATTGATATAGGAATCCATCTAGTCCGCTTAGTGGGTGATTAAAACTTCATCACAGACAGAAAAGGGGGTCCAAAGTTCCTACCGAAATTACCATTCCTGCGGTTAAGGTAGTTCCTGGGAGGTCTATCCGAAAATAAAAAGACTAGTTACCTATTTTAGGGCTTTATATTTTCTCCAACAAAAAAGAAAATGAATATGTTATTGAATAGGAAAATGAATGCATGACGAGGACTCTATTTGGACGTTTAATATAGTATATAGTAATTACCCTAAAACTGATTCAAGTTATATAGGATTCAAAATTATAATTATCTTTTCCTCTATTTCGTTAAATAGCTTTCTATCATCTACAAAAGAATATTTTCACCCCAGGGGTAAATTGACGAGCAATTATATTCCGCCATAATGAAAATATCTTTGGTAGCAATCTTTAAAAATATAAGAATGTGTCTATCAGCGTAAAACACCCGTATTGTAATAAATAATATATTTGATGACACTTTTAAACGCGCAATAATACTTTAAAACCGTTTAATCAAACGAGATTTTGTTTTGACAAAGGGGGGACGTGCGTGATTTGTAAAGAAGACCGATGAAGAATTTACCTTTAATATGAATGAAAATGATAAATGAAAAGTGTGCAATGCAGTTTGAGCAAAATCAGATGATTTTTTTTAACAAAATTGAAATATTTGTATTTTATTAACTTTTATGAATGTTTTGAACCATGCTTTATTAATCAACACATATTAAAAAAGACGGTTCAGAAATATATCTTACCCCAATTGAAGATTTGTTCTCTGTTTTAACTGTGACAAAAGGTGTAATGAGTAAACGCATCTTTGGAAAATGTCCGTTCCAAATTAAGGAGAACAATTAGGCCATCCTTAAAAATATCTTTGTTTCCCCTCCCGCGACCCATGTTATGTTTGGATAGGAAATATTGAAATATTATTTTTTATCCAAAAAAATGTTTATATCTAAATTAAATCTAAATGTGAATTCTAAGCATCTGTTTTAAGTTTAGAACCATATATTTTAACATAAGTTTTATTCAACATTATACCTAAAATTCAAAAAATGAGATAAATATAAAGACATGATTCTCATTGACTCTCTTTGCTTCCATGTTTAGTAAAAACAGTCGGATAGCTGTGATCTTTTTGGGTAGGTAGCGGGAGGGAATTCTAAACAAAAAGATTTAAAAAAAAAACATTTTCAGAAAATTGCCCCTTATGATATAGTGCCATACAATATTAGACATGTACTAGTATACAATCTCTGGTGCCAAACTGTTTGAACAACAACAACAGCAACAAAACAACAACAAACGACATGTACAGTACTTTTATTTTTTATGTCGGACACATAAATAAAACAACATGACAGAAGATATTTTAATTAATAAATATACTGTTACGTGTGACATTGATAAATAATCTCATTATATAAGATTTTATTTATATATATTATTTTCATATATATCGCGCAAAGCAAAACAACAGAGACATATGTTTAGAGACATATTTACAGAGACATATGCTATGCTTGGACACCAAAAAGAAACAAACCTTGGGGACAGTGCCGTCACTTTATTGCACATCTTGACAAAAATATTTCATATTTAGATTTAAAAAAAAAATATTATGCTACCATTTTCTTTTTCAGAATAAAATTATTAAATGCACGCAGACACAATGTCCGAGTACGGAGGGATGTCATGTGATATTGTTTGACAGTTTTCGCGAGGAGCGAAAATGCTGCGAAGTATGTAAAGGTACGACAGTTAATGGAAGACAAAAAATGTCTGAAATTATATTTTAACACAATTTTTCTAATAAGAACATTTTTATCAAATATAACTTCAGCGGTATTCGTCAAAATAAAGTTACAGCTATTTTTTTTAAATGTAAAACACTAAATGTCAAGTTAATAAAATTGCGAATTGCTTGTCAAAAATGACAACATTTGTGAAACGTATATGTCATTTTTTACACATTTTGTTCTGTAAAAATCTGATGTACTTTTTAATCGCTTTATTTAAAGATTTTGATTTTTTTCTTGTCCAAAAAAATAAGTTGTCACATTGTCTTTTTTAATAAATCAAATTTTAGTCTTTATTATTATTATTATTATTATTATTATTAGACTACAATGTATACATATTTGACTTTACATCATAGAAGCTATTATAAAGTCGATTTGGGACTGAATGATTATTTGTTATTGAAGTGAAAATAAATAAATAAATAAATAAATAAATAAATAAATAAATAAATAAATAAATAAATAAATAAATAAATAAATAAATAAATAAATAAATAAAAGAAAAAAGAAGTAAGAAATCCATATATTTATGACAATTCTCTCTTCTCGAAAATGGCAGAAATTTAATTTTATTTCATAAATTTCGTGAATTATATTTAGAAACACAAGTAATGAAATTAATGCTTCGCCACTCATTAAAATGCAAATTCAAAACACGGAAGTTTTGTCTCTTCATGTTAAACAGGATGTTTATATTTTTATATATTTTAACAAAATTTGTCTAATTCTTTTTAGAATTCTTTATCATATCACAGGAGAAAAGAACAATATACTGTACATATATTCTATACATTTATATGCATATACATGTATTAATCTTAATGTTAATTATTTGAGATGATTCACAACATTCTAGTTTTCCAATTTGTTTGCAGGATGTGATTACGAGGGAAAATCGTACAACAGTAGCACAAGTTGGACAGATGTGAACGACTCGTGCACCCAGTACACGTGCAGGGTAAGACCGAAAACCTGATATTTCTAACCTTTTATTTCTTTCAAGTATTAAACTTCGGTTTGTGGTCATTTTTGGATTTAAGGCGAGCTCATATGATCGGCTTTATGTGTACATATTTGTGGATTTCTTTATCTGGTTTAATTGAAGGCCATATTGTAAATAAGACATGCATTTCTTAATAGGTTACCTTCATGAAACAAAGTGTTTACTATTATTATTATTATTATTATTATTATTATTATTATTATTATTATTATTATTATTATTATTATTGTTGTTGTTGTTGTTTTTCTCCGCTAAATATATGCATTCGTCAAATCAAGGGGCAAACTTTTCCCGCTAGTATATTACAAAAGAAAAAGTCAAATAAACTGTTTAGCGTTTCTTGACTCAAAGCTGTCTCAAATTTGGACATTTTCGACCATAAGTTATTTTTAAATGCTCAAATGACATCGACCTATACATCACACAGGACAAATGACTTGTTCCCCTTAAAAAGAGCCGAACAATGTGTTTATACCACTGTTCTAGTAATCACTTACAGATTTTTAAACTGTCTATTTTAATTACCCGCCGAAAGCTGATATTTTCCATGCACGGGCCATACCCCCACTTATCCTTATCAAATCTAGATCTAAGATCGAAACAAATTCATTGACAATGCACATGGGAAGCCTATATTTTCATTTTCAAATAGATAAGATCAAAATATTTTAATTGTCTCAAGAAATCCGAGGATCCGACAATTTACCTTGACAGTCCGTGGTAAAGGTACAATTATACTATAGCGTTACCTTTTGAAAATATTAATGTTCTTTTTCACTCGTAATCTGCCAAAAAATCTATCAATCTATGAAGTCCCATCTGCGCATCTTTCTTCATTATGTCAAAATTTGTTTTCTGGTTTTTCAAATATTTGAGCGATTTTCTTGGTCGTGAGAATTTAATATTGTATTGGACATGTTTATTCTATGACGGGATGTGTCATAGTGACACTATCCGAAAATAATTCATCCGAAAAATTGAAAATGATTTAAAATTGGACAGGTGGCGCACATTGAATATGTCAATTTCTTTAGGATACAAAATTTACACTGACCACCGTACAATATCTGTCAGTCTGACTTTCAAAAGTTTGTAATCATAATAATAGTATATCAATCTTAACAACTAAAATTGGCCATATACACGAATATCAGTCAATTATGTTAAGTTTTGCAGATATTTCATAGTATCAGGGGATATATTTATTATACAGTGATAAGATTCAGTTTCGGCTGCTGCAGACTTCATTGCATGTCCCTGAATACACATTCCTGATATTTTTCTTCTTATATATGTTTTAAATGACAAGATATGTGTTAAAAACTTCATTAAGAGTCGTTTCTATTTATTACACAAAATTTCAAGGATTTTAAATGCTTAGGATCCTTGGACGATAGCTTGCCAACTTCACGCTGCTAGGCCGTTGGGTCGATAGGCCAGCAAATTAACGACGCTAGGCCATTGGGCCGTTAGGTCGCCAAATTCACACACCTGAGAAAAAGTGTTGTTTTATTAAAACACATGTTTAGGATATACATCTATAACCAGTCTGTCGACATAATGAATAATATCCGATATAATAATAATAATAATAATAATAATAATAATAATAATAATAATAATAATAATAATAATAATAATAATAATAATAAAATAACTCAAATATTTAAATATTATTTTCCAGGCCTCCGTGGTAACAAAATTCAAAACTCAATGCTATACACCGTGCTATGACCCAGTTCCCGTACCCGGACAGTGCTGCCCGTCATGTAAAGGTTGGTATATATTTTTATTATCACGTCCCTTTACTCATACAAATGTCGTATTTAGAATTGATTTCAGGTTAAAGACAGAAATCGTAAAAAAACTATAAAAATCACTATAAATTTATTTATTACCAAAAACAGCAACAGAAACAAAAATGGGCCAGGTAAATGGCCATGGGAAACTTTTTTGAAAATAAAACAGGTCACACAAAATAAAAATAAAAACTTTTGAGAAATAAAAATAATGTTATTTCTGGAGCATAATGGGCTTTTAGATTATCTACTGCATTTAAGACAGCAAAATATAAATTACGAACGCAATATAAATACGAACATAAGTTCAAAACATTATTTCAATCTAGCTTTGACAAGTGCACCTTTTACAATTGAAGTGAATTATTAAAATCCATTCACATAAAAGTGAAATCTGTAATTTAAGAAAAAAGAACACCGCCGAGATTTTAATCTTCAAACACTTTGATGTCTGAAATCTCAGGACATAGACTTTAGAAACAGGGGAAGGAGACGTTGATAAAAGCACGTGCATATTTTCTTGTTTTATCAAACGCTGTCATCACATGTACTGTCTGTGTGAACTTCCGGTACAGTGTCGAAATGTATTATGGGAGCATGATGTTTATTATTCTACGTGCACAGCTCTAATTGAAAGTTACAGTTATACACATTTAGTTTCAAAATATATTTTTAATTTTTTTCTCTTTCGGAACGCGCATACTCACAGTTTTTTAATATTCTCCGGGAGTATGTGGGCCAGCACCCAGGAGTCGGTGCTTTGTATATTTTGCTGTTCCGTAATGACACAATCGAAAGAACATGCGCATTTTGTATAGAAATATACATAATAATAAAATAATGCAAAAATACTTAATAAAATGTTTAATGAGTAAATAATTAACAGTGTCTATACCTCAATCCACGACATGGCCGTGAGAGACATAAAATGAACATTTTGTAAATTAACTGACAACATCGATTTATAATGCATTACAAACGATTTTTCTATTTATTGAGCACATAATTAAAGAGGATTTCAAACGGCTAAACGTCAGTTATGTTTATTGAGAGAAAACTGGAAGCAATTTAAACATTCATCTACAATATAGTATATTTGATATCAAATATCTCTGTAGGTCACATTGTCAAAAGTAAGTTTTTAGCTTTTGCCATCTTAGATAGGCTCTGTTTTAAACAGCCATTCATGTATCTCAGAAAAGAATAATTGCCTTTGCAGAACAGCAAACTTTCCATAACACTGACTTAAAATGGAAACATGTTCGGAGCATTCAAGTCTCCGAAATCAGCCTATAGTAACCTCTTTGCTATTGAGTAACCATGTCAATCGAACTGCTTTAGTTCTTTTAAATAATATCCATTTCCTTGCAAAGAGGTATTCGGAACAATTTGAAAAAACACGTGACTCTATATTTAAGCTTGGTTTACTTTTTTTAATCAGATTAAATATGTCTGTCTATCGTTCATGGAGATGTACTCAAACATTCCGAGACGATTTGCACTTATAGTGAAGTGTCTTGGGTCATTTGATGATGCTTTAGATAAACAATTATCATGTTAAATACGTTTACTTCTGGGTCAAAACTGGGTGATTAGGTCATCATACCCGTCCTGGTTGTTTATTTTCTTTCAAGAGCTTATATATTTAACTTTATCAACTGTACATAATAAATGTTGAATGTCGTATCAAACATAATTTCTCATCGTGATTAAAGTAGACAAAACTTCACTACAACTCGTCAGATTTAATGTTTAGACTTTTAGCAGGGATATTTATTTTATTAGTTTTGAAGAATTGTTGCAAATTATATGCCCATATATAAACATGCTCGGGTTATATTATATGCAAACAACCGTTTATATACGTTCATATATCCTGTCAAGAATATTTAAACCGCAATGGCCCTTTTTTAAGAATCAAACGGGAAGACTTTTTAGTGCGCAAGCGCTGGTTCTGCTAGTCCAACACGCAAGAAAGACATGTTCTACCAATATATTTTATATGTGAACAAGTGAAAAGTTATTAAAACACTTCGCTTAATGAAATGCTATTTTCAAAATAAGGAAAATCAACTATAGGAATTCTCAAAGAACGGAATGTAAACGGAATGTAATGTAATACAATAAAATTCGTACTAAGATAAATTATCTTACGTCTCATTCAAATTAAATACCACGTTGTATAAAAACATATCACGGTTGATTCCAATTGAAATATACCCCCAAACACTCATATAAGCCTCTTTGAAATTCATTGTTAATTATGTCAACAGAAATTTCAAGGGTTCTTCAGAAGTGAAGGGGTACTTCAGGGCGGGGTTTTATGTCTGTATTTGTTTAGTAAAATAGACTCGTGTATCGGTATAGAGCAACATTATCACTAGGTATAAAAGACACTTTGTTAGGATTGTGTTTATAGATGCTCGATTTTTATCATTACATTGACTGAGATTGTCAATGGCTGAAAGCTAATGCTCAAAAGCTTGTTGTAGTCAAATAATTGCATTATTTGTGCTGAAACACTTTACTATTCACACAAAGTTTACTTTATTTCAAATTCATTTCATTTGCAAACATAGTTTGCAATTTTCAGGAGGTCTCAAAGTGAAATAAAATGATAATATTCAAACGTTATTACTACATCTGAATTTTTTTGGTTTGTTTTGAACTTTACTAGAAGAGGAAAGATCTTTCAGTTCCGAGTTTGTGCCCGAGTAGTACTGCACATGTACCATATTACGCCAGGTTGCTCCTTGCATTAGATATGCGCGATTTGACCTGTAATGTGTCAGTGTGTCGTGTCGTCACACCAAGCAATTGAATCAAAATTAGGAAAAATGGGCCTAATAGTAATGAGTGATGACAGGCTAATAACCAACGATGGTTCGTTGTCATGGAAACCCGTCTCCTTGAAGTAATGAGTTTGATACAGTAAGGATGATAATACCTAATTCATATGTAACCCCTACTCCAACTGCATGGAAGTTTAGGCGTAGTGAGGTGTAAGAGCCAGCCAAGCTGTTAACGCCCAGCTTTTCCTACGCTGCCGGGCAAAGGCAGTGGTTTTGCTTTTTGGCGTCACAGAACAGGGGATATGCCCGAACATGCAGTGTGGTGACATCTAGCTGGGATTTTTTATATACGATAGGATTGATTTAAACATATTTTATTGCCAAAGAAGAAACATATAAATACATGTAAAGACAGTTACAATTCAATGGTTTAATTGTAATAATGGTAAAATATGTTTGGAAAAAGGGTTTACCCACAAGTGCTCTAAACATTAGCAACGGGTCTTCCCTGATGCAATAAGTTACAATAACATATTTTACAAGAATGACTATCAGTTAGATAGAAGTAACAAAAACACACACACATATATAGTACTTGGCTTTCAAAAAAGATGATTTTAGGTAAGAAAGAACAATAAAAATGATTGGTTGTACATGTTTTCTAGTTTGAATAGTATTGAACAATGTTAACTGTTTTTTTATACAATTTACGTTTGAATGACTTAAAAAAAAAACATGCACAATTGCCAAATATAACAAAAACAATCAGAATGCAAATGATTTTATGATTGGATTGACTGTCCCGTAGGACAGTTCTTAAACAAAATGAAATAAATGGCTTGTAAATGTGATTATTGAAATGTGAATTCTAAGAACACGTTATCAACACGGAGACAAACGAACTGTAAAGTCACCGCTCATTGTCACCGCTTTCCTCAGAATAGGTTTTGAGACCGGATTTTTTAATGATTTGTGCATTTGTCACGAACTAGGTTAACGGTGTAGAGTCTACTATAACCTGTGTGACATATTGTAATTTTGGTAATTATAAGACATATTAACCTGTTTATGTCCCATAGAAGAATTGTTTGTAAAACAGTTAAAAGTGGTCAACTATTTAATCCGTGCCCTTGGTGATTTCTTGATGTCAATCTGGTTGATTGAATAAAAATGTTTATGAAATGGATTGTACTAGAATTTACACAGTGATATTTTGCACGTTTTTCACGTGTTTTGTGTCTACTTCAGGATGTTATTTTGACGGCAGAAAATTTTCAAATGGAGATAAGTTCAATTTATCAACAGATCCGTGTGTCCATTGCTCATGTCAGGTCAGTTTAGTTACTTTTTTTTTTATATTTCAGTTCAAACAATTTTACATACATTTATTCGTGTTCATTGTTTGTTTATTTGCTTATAAGGAAGCATTTGGCCTGTTTGGAATCGAAACCACGACCTCCATTTAAGGAGTTATGTGCTCTATTACCATGGAACCACCCTTCGCGATAGTTTCTCATGCTATACTATCAGCCATATTAGATTTATATTGCTTATTTCATACATTATGAAAAAGAGTCATATCGTCTTTCTTGAAAAGATATCAAAAGAAAGGAAGAGAGCGGAGACCCTAGCGGTACGTGCGTCAGCGCGTCAACCCAGGGATCATGGGTTCCAACCTGTATCTGGTCACAAGCATGTTTTTACATATGACATCGCTACTGGTATGGTTCATAAAACGGACGCAATTGCGAAGCTTAACTCAAGGGAGGTAACAGTTGTAAACCAACCTAACTGAATTAGATTAATTTATGTCCCTTTGATTATTTTTGTTCATCTCTTCAGGAAGGTAGTGTGTCTTGCGTGAAAGCGACTTGTCCAGTGTTAAACTGTCCTACAGAAAACATTTATAATGTGACTGGCGATTGCTGTCCAAGATGTCGAGGTAACTTATGTTAAACCAGAATTATTTAGTCTTAAAATGTACAAATGTATTAAGGTGAAGTATTTCATGTTTCAAAAGTTTACCTCTGTAATGAAAATTTCTTTGCACTGGTTTTAAGCCACACGGACTTTGTAAAGGTTGTTTAGTAACTTTTGGGGTTTTACTGGTAGATCTCGTATTCTAGTTTGTATTGAATTAGTTTCAAGCTTCGTGACATGAATAATTCTGAAGTCCCTGACAGGATTCGAACTCCTAGTGGTAAAACACATCACTTGAAAAAACGACCTGAACCACTCGACAACGAGGAGAGGGTTTCCGTCCTCTCCTCTTGCAAGAGTGATGCACAGGCGTATGATACTGTAACAATGAACTTGATACCTACAAATTGAGAAAACAAGATTCATCCGTCCGCTGACAGACTGACAGAGTATTGACCCAGAAAGAAAGGACTCGAATCCGAGTTCCGCGGACATTTCACATTCCCTATATACATGTTACATGATAATCGGATATGTTCTAATGAAAAGGACATATCTACATTTAAGATATTTTTAGATATTGTCAGATTTGTTTTCCACTTGTTGTGACGTACATTTGAATTACTTTTTATCGTAGATTTGGCGATACTGTCTTGATAAAGGTCTCATCCTTGATTACAAATTTGAGTGGGAGAAAAAAAAATCAAAATAGTTATTTAAGTCTTGTACGGATAACGCATATCAGTTCGTATGTGTGCGTGCCACAACTCTCACAGAGTGAAATGAGTAATTAGAAATAAATCTCTTATTGATCGGTATAATTTCTAATCAATATGACGGTTTCATAGTTTTATTCCATACAGTACGGTCCAAAATTCCCGGTTATGTAAAAGTACGGAACTCATATCAAGTACGGGCAACACTTTTTAGCATTGTGTCCAATGACAATCGCAAACTCTATAAATCGACAGAAATGCCAATCTGATCTCCTCGGCTTTTATGCTTCGCAATAGACTCTTATCCGAGAGCTGATTTTTAACTATTGCAGAAATGTTCAGTTTCAGTTTTTATTAAACCAAGGCATATAATATGCAACTGGTTATAACAAACAAACAAACAGAAAAATAACAGTCAAAAATCATTAATATCACAATATAAAAATACAATTATGACTAGCTAAATAAACAAAAAGGAGATCATATTGTTCATTTCAAGTACTGAATTCAATACAACATGTATTTTATATTGTAACAAATGGGAACGGAGAATGAGAAGTATTAGTTATCTAAATTTTAACATAATGTTTTTACAAAATAAAGATAATTTTAGTAGAATATTTTTATCACAACTATTCATTAATGTGTCAAGTTTAAAAATATTGGGATGAATGTAAAACCTGGGAAGAAGAGATTTACGTCTTATGTCATTAAAGTACGAACATTCAAATAAGTAGTGAAATTCATCACCAATAGCTTGATACGGACATAAGAGAGCTGATGTTTAACTATTGCAGAAATGTAAAGGAAAGAAAATAAGAGAAAAAAACGTAATGATTTGGCTTTATTGCAAGAATTTCAAAATGTGTAGGATGTAGGCCTCAAGATTTGTGTTAATTGTACTAAAAAATTTAACCTGTTCATATGAGTAAAACTGTTAATTGAGGGATTTGATAAACAGTGGATTAACGAAATTACTGTATCATTTCTTGCATGCGTCTACCATACCTTGCGATTACAACACCTGTTATTTCCGGTCTCTGTACCTTTCTTTGGAGCCAATATAGTTTAACTCGTATATTTCTTACGAAAAAACATATAGAGAGACTCATAAATCCACTATGGCACTAGGATATTGGTCTTTTCAGAAATTGCCTATGACTGTCAAATTATACAGAAATCTCTCTTTTTAACGTTAGTAACGGTGTAAATTTTGTTTGTAAAAATTGTACATTCCGGCATAATTTTTCATATATTTTAAATTGTCACCTTATATGTGTTTTTGTGAATATCTAAGTATTTTCTTAAAGTATAATTATATACACTGTACCATATATTAGTTTGATTTTCTTTTAATTTTGTTGAAATTCTTCGCGAATTTGTGTATCAAAAGTTTGTATTTTTTGTTTCTACACACGTAATGAAGACAACAAGTTTGTTATTAAAGATCTGTTTTCTTTTTTATCCGCCTTTTCACATTCGAATAGGCGTCGAAAAACATGTAATATTTTTTTCATATCATTTCTGCAACTATTGAGAGAGATAATAAGGAACAATTAAATCAAAATATTTTCTTTACAATGCAACGTTTTGCCACAGATTCCGTAACGATAGCCTAATTACTGGAGATTTCTCACACAATTGGACGTAATCTTGCACAACTGATATTCCGTAATATTTTCCGTCTACCGCATTTTTTTCTCTCAATCAAATTAGGTTTTTCTCGGCGAATTCATGTAGAGCCTGACAAAATGATTTACAAGATATTATCAGTAATTGGTTGACAGATTCGTAGATCAAAGTACAAAGGGGCGACAAAGTTACATTATTATTAGCGATTTATATTGTCAAGAGACCTGTAGATATGGCAGATTGTTCGAGTTACTCATGCAATTGTAAATGACAGTTACATGTACATCCAGAATTAAGCTTTGGTGGTCTGTGACAAGTCAAGTATTATGCATGAGTATGTAAAAAAGGCAAACCTGCTCAAGAAAACTGTCCTTATTGCTCTATGTTTAGTATCGCCGACTTTGGAGCTGTGAAACATTGCCACCTTGTTTATATCGCCGACTTTGGAGCTGTTAAACATTGCCTCCTTGTTTATATCGCCGACTTTGGAGCTGTTAAACATTGCCACCTTGTTTATATCGCCGACTTTGGAGCTGTTAAACATTGCCACCTTGTTTATATCGCCGACTTTGGAGCTGTTAAACATTGCCACCTTGTTTCTATCGCCGACTTTGGGGCTGTAAAACCTTGCCACCTTGTTTATATCGCCGACTTTGGGGCTGTTAAAACTTGCCACCTTGTTTATATCGCCGACTTTGGAGCTGTTAAACATTGCCACCTTGTTTATATCGCCAACTTTGGGGCTGTTAAACATTGCCTCCTTGTTTATATCGCCGACTTTGGAGCTGTTAAACCTTGCCACCTTGCTTATATCGCCGACTTTGGAGCTGTTAAACCTTGCCATCTTGTTTATATCGCCGACTTTGGGGCTGTTAAACCTTGCCACCTTGTTTATATCGCCGACTTTGGAGCTGTTAAACATTGCCACCATGTTTATATCGCCGACTTTGGAGCTGTTAAACATTGCCACCTTGTTTATAACGCCGACTTTGGAGCTGTTAAACATTGCCACCTTGTTTATATCGCCGACTTTGAGGCTGTTAAACATTGCCACCTTGTTTATATCGCCGACTTTGGGACTGTTAAACCTTGCCACCTTGTTTCTATCGCCGACTTTGGGGCTGTTAAACATTGCCACCTTGTTTTATATCGCCGACTTTGGGGCTGTTAAACATTGCCTCCTTGTTTATATCGCCGATTTTGGGAGCTGTTAAACCTTGCCACCTTGTTTATATCGCCGACTTTGGAGCTGTTAAACCTTGCCACCTTGTTTATATCGCCGACTTTGGGGCTGTTAAACCTTGCCACCTTGTTTATAACGCCGACTTTGGAGCTGTGAAACATTGCCACCTTGTTTATATCGCCGACTTTGAGGCTGTTAAACATTGCCACCTTGTTTATATCGCCGACTTTGGGGCTGTTAAACCTTGCCACCTTGTTTATATCGCCGACTTTGGAGCTGTTAAACATTGCCACCTTGTTTATATCGCCGACTTTGGGGCTGTAAAACCTTGCCACCTTCTTTATATCGCCGACTTTGAGGCTGTTAAACATTGCCACCTTGTTTATATCGCCAACTTTGGGGCTGTTAAACATTGCCACCTTTGTTTATATCGCCAACTTTGGGGCTGTAAAACCTTGCCACCTTGTTTATATCGGCGACTTTGGGGCTGTTAAACATTGCCACCTTGTTTATATCGCCGACTTTGGGGCTGTTAAACCTTGCTACCTCGTTTATTATCGCCGACTTTGGGACTGTTAAACATTGCCACCTTGTTTTATATCACCGACTTTGGGGCTGTTAAACCTTGCCACCTTGTTTATATCGCCGACTTTTGGGCACCTTGTTTATATCGCTGACCACTTGTCACGCTATATTGTCACGTCACACTTTAATACACCACTTAACTGTAACACGTCTGTCAGCAACGGTGTGCTTACACACACTTTCACACCTTTTTATGTTACAATATAATGTCACAATATACTGTCACACCTTTTTGTTAAAATATACTGTCACAATATACCGTCAAAACTTACTGTCACACCTTTTTTGTTACAATATACTGTCACGATATACCGTCAAAACTTACTTTCACACCTTTTTGTTACAATATACTGCCACAATATACTGTCACACCTTTTTGTTAAAATACACTGTCACAATATACCGTCAAAACTTACTTTCACACCTTTTTGTTACAATATACTGCCACAATATACTGTCACACCTTTTTGTTAAAATATACTGTCACAATATACTGTCAAAACTTACTGTCACACCTTTTTGTTACAATATACGGTCACAGTATACCGTCACGTTATTGTGTTGTCACAACACACTGTCACATGGCTATGAATGTTATGCTCTCGGTTTTTGTTAGTTCTTTTTCTGTAGTTGATACTCATTTTATACAAAGCAGTCTCAGCACAGACTAAATACTTATATCATGGATATTTCTTTTTTTCCAGGTGAAAGAAAAATCTATAATCTACCAGGTGGGAGGTGTTTCTACCAGAAGAAAATATATAGTAATGGGAGACAATTCCGTCCGGATAAGTGCACGAGATGTGCGTGTAAGGTATGCCTTTTTTATTTTATTTATCCACCTGATTCTATATGATATTTTAGTCATTGTGTATATTTTTATTTCGTTAATCATTACTTCCGCCGCTACGAGAATAGAAATTATCAAAATAGCAATATGTATAGCACATAGAACAGAACAGGACTCAACCATAAGCAATGTTAGATTTCATCATTTCACCCTTTATGTCTATTTGATACACGCATTCAACAGATACCTTCCCGCGTTAAATCTCTATTAAACACGTGTAACAGATAGTTTGTCCCCTTTATGTCTTTTTAGTAACACGTGTAACAGATAGTTTGTCCCATTTCGTTTCATATACATACGTGTATACATTTTTATAGTAAGTCTAAGATAGTTTTCCCCCTTTTTGTACAGATAGCCTACCCCCTTTCGTATTTTTCATACATATATGTAATATTTTTTGTTCTTTATGTGCCTTTTATACGCACGTGTAACAGATTAATAATGTCTCATGTGTGAAAGATAACTTTACCCCCTTTATGTCTGTTGTATACCTACATGTTACAAATAGCTTGCTTTCATATTCAAGTGCTATTTTGGTGATACATGTTTCACTGTTATTTAGGAAGGCACGTCTGTATGTGAGAGGGAAACGTGTCCACATCTTTCATGTACCGAAGAACAGAGAGAGCACGTGCCAAACTCGTGTTGTATGAAATGTCCCGAGAAGAAACAATGTCTGTACAACGGAATATTTTATATGGTACGTTTGCTGATTGTATGATTGTTTATTTGTGTTTATAACGAACATTTAAAAGGATTTAACTCATAACAGAAAAGATGAATTAGACCTTTCATGTGTAAAAAGGCAAGATTTAAGCATTTTATCATTCAAGCGCCTTGTCCGGTATATACCGGAATACGGTATTTAGTGTCGTGCTCCAATCCTTTTTTTAGTCACACTTCATTTAAAAATTATATTAGAGACTAACTTCGATTAAACTTGTTGTGAGAAAACACCTTACAAATCCTTTCTTTACTAACAGTTTTGTGAAATTCTAAACTTTGCTAAGAAACAATCAACTAATCATGAATATGTGTAAGTCTTTTTTATGTAAATGAATAAGATGATCTTGAAGATTGTTTAAAACATAATTAAACCTTAGTCATATTATATTATGGACAGTAATTAACAGTTCGATTCTATCAAATTGAATTACTACTGATTTATGGAATTACTGAATGTAAAAGTTATAAATGAAGAAATTTATATAGAAATCACGTGATTTGATTTTAAACTTCCAGCACGAACAACAGTGGAAGCCTGACACGTGCACAACGTGCGATTGTGATAATGGCGTCACTCACTGTCAGACTCAACATTGTAACAACGCCCTCTGGTGTCCACAGGGGTTTACACTACAGTTTGATGACACGGAGTGTTGTCCTAGATGTGTAGAATGTAAGAAGAGATTTTAATCTTAATTTTTACCTTAAGATAATTCACTTACTACAGTTCGTATCCGGACACTGCTCTCGGCATAACCGATTCATGATCACTTTCTCTCATATGGTCCAGCTAGCTTACGAAACGTCAGTGGTTCTACTCAGGTGCCCGTTCGTGCCTGAAATAATACACGGAAGGGCATATGAGGTCTTCCTCCTCCAGAAAAGCTTGAACGTCTTCATATGACCTATACTACGTTGGTGTGACGTAAACTTCAAACAAACAACTCTCGTAAGGCACTGAGGCACCAAAGCGCCATTAAAAACCAAAGGGCAAGGTCAAAGTTAAATACAGCATGCACGTGTTTTCCCAATTCATACGGCTTTCTTTGGTATTCTTGCATTAGAATATTGAATTTTGTAGAATTTTTTAAAAATGTAAATAATGAAATTTGAATACCTCAACCGCCATACTTTCAAAGTGACCTGTTGATATCAAATATATCTAAAAAATCTGTTTTGTCAATTTTTGAACCGAATACCTGTGTACCTGTGCTGATGATGGAAAAAAACTTAAGTTAATACATTTATCATTGTTTATTTTAAAATGTGTGGGAATAGCTCTAAATATTACTCTCGTGACAAATATGTATTGAACAAAACTATCCCTTAAAATGGGAATAACCCTTAAATGATACAAAACTATCCCTTCAGATAAATAATCTATTACAGAAATATTGTAGAATTGGCCATTCATTTAAAATTATTGAAGAAAAATAGCTCAAGTTCATAATTACATGAACTACTTCGCCTACAGGACCGGTGGACTAGCAAATACCGTGGTAAACTAGATTATGAGGAGAAAATGCGTATTTTTGTGGAGATAATTAAGCGCTTAATTGGAATTTAATCAGAATTTTCTCGAGCATTTTGTTTTAAATTTAGAAATTCACACAGAACGTAGGCAGAGTTTTACTTCTTCACGCCAGAGATAATGTCGACTTTGATTAGATAATGCTATCTACTGGTGGAAAAACTACAACATGCACATTAGCATGCATTGTAATGCGAATAATACGGCTTCCGTGTTATTTTTTATAGCCGATTAATGCGCGCACGCCTTCAGACTGTTATTTACTGCTATAAAAAACATAACCGTTACACAATTTATCGTGAATATTAAAGAAATGAACTTATAGAATTAAAGAAATACATTCATTTTTCAACAGTTCTTACAAGGTAGACAATTCTCAAGGCAATTTACGATATATGAAACATGAGGGCTTATGCATATATAAGAATTTCCTGATGGGGGAATCTGCTAAGTGTAAATCCCGTGATATTTAGTAACTTACAATTTGATTATAATCAAATAAATCACTTTTTTTTCATAAGGAACTTCTAAAAGTAAAATGTTTGGTTATGCTACAATCTCTCATTTAATTCATTTTTACGCAATTATTGCTGGCATTTCTTTTTCTTTATATTAAACTGAATGTTCCGCGCATGTGTAAAAAGGCATGGTCGGATAAGCAAAGGTGAACATGGAACAATATGACTAAAGTAATATTGTGTCGGGTCTTTCTGTGCAAATGAATGTTTTAAGTAAGTTCCTTATCATTTTTACAACGGGTTTTCACATATGTGTAGAACAAGTGCCAGTTTGTTTGTTTGTTTTTTGTTTGTTGTTTTTTTTTTTGTTTTGTTTTTTTTGTTTTTTTTTATAATATATAATTTTACGATTTTACAATGTATTTTCTTACAGCTCGAGCGGTATGTACAGTGTATGGTGACCCGCACTACAGAACGTTTGACGGAAGAATGTTCAATTTCCAGGGCCCTTGTAAATATATTTTAACTGAAGACTGTTTTGAAAAATCATTTTCCGTGCGGGTACGAAACGACGCGAGGACGAGTAGCAGCTTTACTTGGACGAAAATGGTGGTGATATTTATACATAACATTAAAATCAATTTGCATAAGAATTTACGGGTAAAGGTGAAACGAAAAGGAGTCAAGTTGCCATACAAACATAATGAAATACCAAGTTTTACTATCGAACGCAGAAACGACATGGTAGTGTTTAATTGGTCTAGTGATTTGACAGTCACGTGGGACGGAGACAGTTTTGTTGATATATCTGTTTCTAGTAGATACAAACGAAAACTTTGCGGTTTATGTGGTAACTTCAACGGACTCGGATTCGATGATCTCACAGGAAAAGATGGCCGCCAATATTTTACCGGTGAGGAATTCGGAGAAACGTGGCGTTATGGAAGTCGTAGCGCATGCGTGATTAAACCGGAAGTTCCTCCAGAATCTCAATGTTTGAACAATACTATAGCAAATCTACGTGCAAAGAAGGAATGTAGCTTTCTATTAGGATCTGTCTTTCATAGATGTAGGAGACAAGTTGATGTTCGTTCATATTATAGGTAAGTTAAGCATGCATCTCCATAGTTTTCCTATAAAACATAAAACTCCAACAACAATAATTGGGGAAGGAAGGTATCAAATTGTATAACACGTGCAGAAAACTATTAGGAAGTCGCGTGAATGCCTTTTCTTATGCAAAAAAAGCAAACGAGTGAAGATTAAATTCTGTGAATTTCTACAATCTTAACTGAAACTTACTCTTACCCTTTTAACAAAGTAGGGAGATTTTTCTTATTCTTAAACCGCAGTGTGTATTGCTTGAAACAAGCTAAATTTTCTTTTGAAAATAGCTTAATGATTTTCCTTATGGTTACGTCCATTTAAAGTGTACTTTCTTTGCCTCGTACAGTTTTAAGTCGTTAAAATATAAATATTATTATCTGAAAACATAATTTTTAATGTACCGTTCATTATAATTTTGTGTCTTCATTGTTTTTTCACAGCTCCTGTATAACTGACACGTGTGAATGTCCGACGGACAAAAGATGCGAGTGCGAGGCATTTCGAGCATATGCACGCGCATGCGCTCAAGATGGTATTCATATAAACTGGGAATCTGTTGCTCCTTGTGCCGGTATGTTTTTGTTTCGTGTTTATTGTGTTTTTTTACTTTCATTTACTAGACATATATTTTTAATTCCTCTGTTTTTGTTGTTGTTGTTCTTGTTGTTGTTTTTGACGAGCATGTAGTCAAAAGTTACCATTTCGTACATTTTTAAAGACGTTGAGCTGTGTTTCTTTGAAGAAAAGTTCCTTATTATTTTTTGTTTTAAATTACAAAACTGCATTTCTTTTGTCTTTATTCCATTATTATTCATTAAATTTTATGAATGACAATAATAATGGATTTATAATCATCGCATAACCATGGGCCTTTCGTTTGCAATGTTTGTGAACTAAAATGACTTGACCTAATATTTGTTAACTATTTTGTATCTTTTAGCTGAAAGCAAATGCCCAGTAGGGTCAAAGTTCAAAAAGTGTGCCACACCATGCCCTAAAACGTGTGAAAACTACAACAAAATAGAACCATGTTTAAAACCGTGCATTCAAGCGTGCCAGTGCCGATCCGGACTAGTTTTACACGAGAACGCGTGCATAGCACCAAATAAATGCCCGGCACGTAGATGACGCCATTAGAAAATTAGTTCGTTTTATCATTTTATTTAAAAATTTCTTTTCATTCGTTCTATTATTTATATATGTAACATTTGTGCAGGACTTAAGCACCATTTGCGTTTTAACAGATTTTCATTTTTTTTTTCAGCTGAACAATTTTTGTAATGTTTACGTTAGCTGATTCGTCAGAAAGCGTCAGTACATTAATTTTATAATAGTGCTATTACTAGAAAAAAATCCCCACAAAACATTGTTTTCATTGTGGTGACACCGCTTGAACTCGTGTTTTATATTAAGACATATTATGCATGGTTTAAAATAAAGTAAATTATATTTTATGAATATTTTTTCTTACTGTCACTCATTAGTAAATGTTTTTCCTTTTTCATATAGCTAGAAGAAATCTTAACGTAAATGTTTCACAATGAAACGGAATACATTTATTTTCAAGGGTTGTTCCTTGGAAGGTTTCTGAAATCAACATTTTTATTTATTTCTTTCATCACTGCAGTTTAATTATGTGTTATTTCTGGGACTTTAAATATTTTGCATATCATAAACAATAGTCTTTCTTATGATTGTTTTACAAATGGCCAGTGATATATTTTTATTTTATATTTGTAATTGGTTTGTATTTGTATATTGTTGTTTTAAATATATGTATTATTAAACGTTTTAGCATATCAATGGCGAACAACTATATACATGTATATAGTCCGTGGTTTTAAAGGGACTCGGCTGAGTTTTTTCCTCACATGATAGGACTATCAATATTTCTTTCAAGATTTTTATTCCATTTGACACAGGATATACCAATAGATTTTGTGCAAAAAATTTCAGATCTTTTGCACACACTTTTTTTCCCCAGAATAATCATTTTCATGTGCAAAATTATCTAAATTTAACTCAAATAGGGCTAAGAATTGTATCGATTTTCAATTTACTTCTGATGATAGTTTTCTACAGTTTTTCTACTTTTAGTGCACCAAGCGGTCTTTTTCAAATTTTATGTTTTTAGGCTTATGGACCTCAGTGGAGTCCCTTTAAACTTTAGTTTGAGCCCATATCTTTCTAGTGAAGCCAAACAAAAATGGATTTTTTTAGATATTTCAATATTTGAATTAGATAAATAGTATTCGCATTAAGATTTTGAAAAAAAAATGTATTTGGCAAGTCAGTTTTCAATAGCTAGATAAGTAAGGCGTGATTGTCTTTAAGGTGTTTAACTTTAACAGCCATATTTATTGATTTTATTGCGATCTGTTTTATATGTAATCTAACTAATTTTCCAAATTCTCGTACTTTCTTTACCTTTACTTATGAACTTTTTGTATTTTAAAACATTTATATATTTTACTATTTAATTCTTTTAAAAATTAGAAAAAGGTTTTATGTCATTTTCAAATAGGGTTTTCCCTTTTTTTGTTAATCATGCTAACTGTATTTTTGTATTTTCAAATGTAAGTTTAAGGTTTAAAAGGAGAAATAAAATGACTAATGCATCATCAGAATATGTAGAAACCTGTCTTGAATTATTTATGTATAAAAAAAGAAAAACATTATTTATTCTTTGTTTGGTACTAATATTACTTTAGAGTTATTTTTTGCAGTGCTTAAAGCTGCATGCCTCCAGATGAGCCAAAACATTTATAGAAAATCAACCTTAAGAAAAATGGACTAAGATATTAATAAAAGTAAAGATATTTACAACTACACTAATGATTTACGTGTTACATACAATGAATGGCCGATTTTGCAGTATTTTTCACCATATTTCTTCTGCGTGACTAACTTAGTAAGGGTTCATAGGCATATTTTTATTCTCCTTTTTTTTTTTTTTTTTTTTTTTTTTGGATTGAAAGTGAAAGTGCAGATGAAAGTGAAAGTGCAGTTAGCAAAGTGTGAATCATTTTCTTTGTTCACTAGGAAATAATTTAATTTTGAACACATTTTCAAATTTTTCATGAAAATTCGCATGAATCTGGAGACATGCTGCTTTAAATATGACAATGTAATCAGAAAATGAAAGAAAGTATCCCTTAAGAACCATATATAAATTGTTAAGATTTTAATGAAGAATTTTTAATAATTATTTTAAGAAATTATGGTGGTTATATAAGTCTATCTCTTATTTACCTTTTATATCACTATTCATATGCATACACAAACTTGAAAATCAACATTTTTAAATTAAAACAAAATATCAGGTATATCCTTGAAAAAAAGATCAAATTATTTAACAAATTTACCTAAAATATCAACATTTTACACAGTTACTTAAAATATCAACATTTTACACAGTTACCTGAAATATCAACATTTTACACAGTTACCTAAAATATCAACAGTTTACACAGTTACCTAAAATATCAATATTTTACACAGCTACCTAACATATCAACATTTACACAGTTACCTGAAATATCAACATTTTACACAGTTACCTGAAATATCAACAATTTACACAGTTACCTAAAATATCAACATTTTACACAATTAAATAAAATATCAATATTTATATAATTACCTTAAATGTCCACATTTAAACAATTGATATCTTAATTGTCAACATTTTCACAAGTACCTAATTTATCAACATTTTCACAAGTACCTAAATATCAACATTAAAATTTTACACAATTACCTAAAATGTCAACATTTACATAAAATATCAAACTTTTTAACCCATTGACAAGCTGTTTTGTTTGAATAATTCTGCATTTCATTCTTATTATTTGCTGAATATCTGTGGGTATGAAACTATATGTTTATAATTCAGGTTATTGTAAATAAGTACTAATTTATTTTATAAATAATAGTTTTATGATATACTTTTAAATTCACATTGTATCTTGTTTATCAATTTTGTGCCATTAAAACAAACAACTAAGACATAACTTGTTTTCTTCTTGAACTTTACATACATTCCATTTTCCTCGTCCCTCATAGACAGTGTTTCCCGTCCCACCAGCCCTTCCCCTGAAAATCACACAAGTTAATACTCAGTTATTGTTCGTTTGTACTCAGAACTACAAAACCCCCGTTTTAGTTGAGGAAAATTGCATGCATCAGAAAGGCATCTAAAGATTACCTCACACGGCCACGTTCTGAAGGGAAAGGCCATCGATGGCGTCTCGGGTCTTTTTATTTTCCACATAACAGTCGAGATCAGTATACTAGAACTGTTTTACCGCTTGATTAACAAAAAAAAAATTTCATTACACATGCAATTTTAATTCATATTTCTCTGCCTTTAATGAATTGATAGATCCCTCCTCTGACTTTTCATTTGAATAACAATAAATTTTAATCACAAACATTTGATAAAAAATATTTTGTGGTGAAATTCTTATTGTAAACCTCTAATCTGACAATTCAAATTGAAAATATTAGCGTCATGTATTTGGAGTACGGTTACTTTTTTATGGTACATATAAATTACCATTCCAAAAGATGGATTTAAAAATTGAATTTAATGCATGAGATTTGTATGAACTCAAGAACATGTACTTGAAAAAAAAAGTTGAAAGTGATATAGTTTTTTGGTGACAGAGGTACCCATCACCGAATTTCTTGAAGGAAAAAGGTCAAATAAGTGTCCCATGCTCTAGATTACCTAAGTTAACTACATGTATCTCAAAACTGCGTGCCACATCCCCATTCCCAGTCTCCATATATTTACTAACTTCCATTACAGACACGTGACCCGTAAAGTATGGCCAACAACGACCAAAGAACATCAAAAACAAATCACCGCAAAATATTTGGTATAAAGCAACATCTAATTGTGTTTTTGAACTCGTTAGTTGCAGAACAACAGCTTTACTAAGTTTACTATATCGGTGATTTTGTAATATATTTACCTAGCCAAAATATTGAGTAGAATTGAAGAATCTTCTAAAATAATTATTTTAAAAATTGCTCTATACATTCCCTTTTAATCCTCATAGAATGTGTCGTGAATTGTTGGCCTTGGGTATCACTTTTTAAGAGTTTGAGTTGTTTTTCTGTGTGAATTATGAGAAAAAATACGATGTATCATTTAGAGGTTTAATTATTGATACACAATCAGTTTAAGAATTGTAAATAAAATAGATGGGTGACACGTTTTTGCAGGAAATCGTTAAATGTAGTGTCAAATATAACTTCTTCTACCTAAAGAAGGAAGTTTATGATCGATATGAAATTCTTGACAAAAAGGCTTGGGCCTATGAGGGTAAAGTATGGTATTTTACAGTAGTCTTATGTGCTAACTATGTTAGAGACATTTACATAAGCTGTCAAATTGAATTCATACGTCCCAAATACTGGCATTTCAGACTCTATTTGATAATCAGCCGTTTCACGGGAAATCTTGTTCAATGTTCCTTGTTTACCAGGGGAAATAAAAAACAACATGATCAAATATTAGGCGTAGAAATATATAATTTATATTTTCTTCCAATAAGAAGTTACTACATCGACGTTAAAAGTGAAGCATCAGGGAAGAGGTATGTACCAACACTTTTAAGTACCTTGAAAGATGTATCTAACAAGTTAAGGAATTGCTAGATTCAATCCTAGATATGTTGCTTAAAGGAACTCAACTGAGGTTCAAAAGCATTGCATTAAAGCATTCAATCTGGATTTTATACACTGATCAGTTGGAGCACTTAAAACAGAAAGGCTTAAAGAATACAATATAGAAATATATCTTTCAAGCGATTAGAAAATCCATTGTAATGTATTGGGCAAACGAGCTATCTATGCGTTCTTGAAATGTTCTGAATCCGAAATCTTGATCTTGTACAGAACGTGGTGATTAGATTTGACCCCGGTTTGTACAGCAGAGAAGGGCACTGACACAATTTAACTTGGTGACTCTGGCAGCAGAGTGTCCGATGCGCACCTGCTCCTTTGTGTGGGATACAGCTTCAGATCTGATCATCACATCTTACAGGTGCACTTGATATCAGAGGTATATCCTATTGTTTGTGGACTTATGAACGGACATTTTAAAAGATTGTGAAAATTGTGCAGTTATCGGTCGTGTTAAGGAATAATATTTCCAAAATCTCTTCATCGTACCAACCTGTTTCAGACAAAACTATCTCTGCTAAGCCTCGATTCTTGGTCCCAGGCTGGGCATTCGATACAAAGATTTGACATTTCTTTCAAGTGAGCAGCGTATATGTTAGAAACATGCCTTAATGATGCTGTTCAATGTCACTGTTTTAGGAGATTTTGTAGAGGCATCTACATGTACTAGGGACAGAAACTCGTATTCCTGATGTCTACATAAAGTAAACCTTGTATTGATGAACTTTCTGAATCAGTAAACGAAGACATAAAGCCTCGGAACGGTAGATAAATATGAGGTTCAATTTTCCAGTATATCTCAGGTTCCGAGATTGGTTTTAGGTATCTCCGCAACATCTGTGCCATCAGAAAAAATATTTTCGGCGGCCGCACTCATTATCGTAAAAGTTGTTAAATCGAATGTCAACGAACTAAATGACACAATAGTTTTTTTTGAGAAAAGTTAAGATAAAATAAATAAAAT